TTAAAAACACATTTCTGTTTGGATTTTACTGAAAAATGTTGATTTAATGAATAAAAATGAAAATTTGCAGTTTCTACGCACTGTCAAGCTTTGAAAGTTGCCAAACTTTAGCGGCCATTTTCTCGCTAATTTATAGCTCTGATTCCAGCCAACCCACCATCAAATGCAAATGTCTCGACTCCTATTCATGAAAGATGGATAATTTTTTTCACCGAAAGCAAGACAATTGAACAAGATTTAAAGTGATACCAATAACTCAACATGTCCAAAGTTTGATAAGCGCCTGATTCCTCCACGTCGTAACACTCATTTCTTATATCATTTCAATTCTCTCTCTCTCTCCCCCCCCCCCCCTGTGCCCACAGTCCATGAGCTGTGTGTCTGCCACATTGTCAAAGCACAGAGTGCAGGCATCATCACTGACGACAAAGTTGTTCATCATCGCCATCTTCTCATGTCTAGGGTAGCAGGGGGTAGAAATAGAAAAAAAAAAAAAGTAAATGATATCAGTTCTCCGTAAAGATCATCTTTTGGCATGTGGCCAGTTCCCATGCCTTGGATGAGTCCCACCTCAGAATATAATAATATTGTATGACCCAGGTGGTCAGAAAAAGAGAACACCAGAACATTGGACATTGACTTTCTAGGATATGTCATGAATACAAGGTATATAATACACTTAAGATAAAAGATGTGAGTAGTCTGGTAAGTCTTGTTAAAAACAACGACCCCACCCCCCCCTATTTTTTTTTACAACAACTTATTTTCCTCAACATTCTTTTTACTGTTGTTGTTGCTGTTATCCATCCAGCAACAGCTGGGCCTTCGCCCTTCTGTCCAACGTCATGTAGTGATAAGAGCAGGATTGGCAGCAGTTGCTATAATGTTCCAGAGAGTGTGTTGTCTCGGACGAAGAAGTGTAGCTCTGATGCCATTTAGGGCTGTGCAGTTTCCCCCCACTGACACAAACTGAAACCCACTTTCTCCCACTCCCCTTTGACTCACCTGGGCAGAACAATCTTCTGCTCTGGCCTGAGGCTGCCGTACTCGTTAAACGTCTTGAAGGAGACGGGCGGGGGATACTGGAAAGGCTTGGCACCAAAGTTGAACTCACACTGCTGGAAAGACATGAAGCTAGCCGCAGCAAAGAAACCAGACCTGTCAGAGACAACAAGAGTAGATATTCCAGATGGGCACACAACACTCACTCCCATCAACACAATTTAGATCATTATCAAACTGCAAAATAAAAAAGTAACACAGAAGTAAAACCAATATGTAAGGCGTCATGGTGTAATCAGGCGCTCGACAAATTAATGAAGCCAAAGAATGTGTCATTTTTCTGTCCGTTGGGCAATTTAAAAAAAAAGTATTTTCTTTGGCTCAACACATTTTACGTCAATGTAAAAACACATTTCTATGAGGATTTAACTGAAAAACGTTGATTAAAGGCACAAAATAAGTAATTTGGTTGTTTTCACGGCTGACTCTCAAGCCTATCGGAGTAACCAAGCTTTGGCGGCCATTTTCTCGCTAATTTTACCTCTGAAATCAGGTGACCTCCAATTTCATCAATCACAAATATCTCAATTACTTTTCAAGATAAATGGATATTTTTTTTCCACCAAAAGCAAGGTAAATTAACAGGCTTTAAGATGATACAAAAAAAAGGTACAAAAAGTAACCAAGGTAGATACGAAAATGTAATACCTCCTGCACATCCCTATGTGAAAATGAAGCTTTTAAATGCTCAACATTTGACAAACTTTTCTCTGCCAAAATTAGTCTCAGTGGCCATAGCAGAAGCAACAAATCATCTGAATCCGTAATTTTACAATTTCTCTGTAAGAAATATTCTCCTCTGCAGATACATTGGTTATCATCAGACATTGATGGACGAACTGTTCATCATAACTAGTACCTTCTAGTCAAAGTTAAAAAGCTCAAGATTCCACAATATATTATTATACATACAGGTCATTTTGAAAACAGGGCGAGGAGGATAGGGTACAGAAAAAGAAAAAAAATGACAGAGACAAAAATACACCAATCTTACTAAAGTTAGATTGTAAAAAAAGAATCATAGACACAATAGTTTAATAGGGCACAGTATTCTTTTGGCTCTTCTTGAAAAGTAAACTGCTGCACAAGCACATCTAAGGTTAAATGTTCACATGTGACATTTCACTTTATATATGGCAGGGGTTGCATCCAGTGGTATGCTGGGAACCAGTTTATTTTTTCAAACCCACTCAGGGGTGGGGATCAGCAGCAGTGAGAGAACAAAAATCTAACAAAAATAAGCTTGAGGCATTTAGTATTGACGCTTTGCTGCCTATTGGGTGACTCATGTCGCCTGCATGTAATTGTTCTCTGGCCTTTGTCTCTACATGAAGGTTGTAGTACCTGAAACCTTATGTGTCCATTTGTAATGTAAAAGAAACTCTAATACTCCCTTATTCTTTCTTTGTTACTTGTCAAATATATAAAACGTAATAGAAACTTGAATACGTCCTTATTCTTTCTTTGTTACTTGTCAATTATGTAATGTAACATAAATTTGAAACTCTTCAATTCTTTCTTTGTTTCTTGTCAAATATGTAATGTAACAAAAACTTGAATACTCCCTTATTCTTTCTTTATTACTTCATCAAATATGTAGTAATGTAACAAAAATTTACCTCCCCCCCCCACCTTAATTTTTTATTTGTTACTTGTCAGTATGTAATATAACAGAAATTTGAACCCTTGTAAATTTGTTTCCAAGTGATTCAGTTTCTCACAACTCTAGCGGTCCTGTCATCCGTCACAATGGCTGTGCTCATCCATTGGTGCTCCACTCTTTGCCACAACAGATCTCTGTTTGTCCCTGTCTCTGCTTAGATGAATTGCTAAAGAGCAGCTTTTTTCTTTTTTTCTCCCCCCCCCCAAAAAAAAACTCAACAAAAAACCCCAACCTTCCAGCCCCACGCGCGTATATTTTCAGCAACGCTTGTACCTCCTGCCGTCCCAAGAGCGTATATTCTCCAATTTATTTGGGGGGGGAACCAAATTTGCGCATTTTTCGAAATTAGGTAATCTAATTAAACTTTAATTTTCACATATTTGTTCGTTTACTTTTAAACATTGTTATATATGTTATCATCTAAACCCCATTATAAAGATACTGCAATCACTTTTTAGAATGCATACCTCTTTTTCTGAAATACTGCTGTATTGGCTGGGACTGAGGTCAGGGAATGCACAAAAATTGGCTGGGGCTGGAAGGGTTAAAGTAAGCATTTTTTTGTACGCCCAATCGACACAATTAAGATAATTTAGGAGGTGGGCTTCGACCTTATCAGTCCCGGTCAACCTGGGCTGAGAAGGGTACAACGTCTTAGCAGAAAAGACCGTAATACACTGTACTCAATAAAAATTCTCCCCACACAGAAAAATCAGAATTGGGTCTTTTGTGTGCCACGGTGAAGCACCTGACTTCTACATCACAGATGACGATTTACAGAAGTCTCTCATGTTTGTTTGTTTGTTTGAGTAAAGAAAAGAACATCGATACAATAATGGTCATTTAATGCTGAGAAAAAGTAAGACAGACAGACAGAGACAAAAGAGGGAACTCGGAAAGTAAAGAAATAGGACCCACAAGTGGCACCCTCCAACCAACCGAAGTCTCTTAAAGGAATATCGAGAAGGCAGCAAAGTGTGACAAGCCTCCCTGGTCTACGACAGGGGATGTGAGAAATGAGAGATAGTCTCACCTTGCATGTGTAAACAGCTGTTTGTAGCGGGGCAGGGGGTCTCCGTTCAGGGAAAATATCAAATACTGATTGTCCAGGTCAAGCAATAGGCCAAGGATGTCACCTGTGAAGAAGGGAGACAGAAACAAAGGCATAATGTTAACTATACATTTAGTGTATCAGGACTTTCATGGATTTGTGGATTTAAGGCACAAAGAAAGAAAGAAAGAACAACGTCACAGTCTTTCTTTGTAAGCATTTTACGGCACTTGCAACACAATTAGGTCACATAAGTGCCAGTGCTATGGTTTTCATCTCTGACTATTAAATCAGACCTTTTTTAAAGCAAGAGCTTTACAGAACTTGCAGCACAACTAGGTCATTAAGCACAATAGATTACAGGTGCTACAAGAAAGTAACATACATATAATATACAAAAGGAGGAGAGATAAGAACAACATATGCTTGACAGGAATGAAAGAGCAAACCACACCAGAGCACCCGCCAACCACCCACCGACCAAACCAGGACAACGGTGACAGTGAACAAGAAATAGAAGCCACAGACCACATCAAAGGGTTTATCAAAGTCGTAGAAAAGAATAAGGAGCAGACTACTCAAGGGCGCCCACACTGATCACTAGTCGCACAACAAACTCACATGCAGACACACAAACTCAAACATAGATACTCATAAACAAACACACACACATACACACACCCACAAACGCATGCGAATAAATACACAGAGACACATAAACAAAAAAAACCCACACACATCAACCCACCCACGCATGCCCGCACGGACAAAATGAGGGCGTATTCGTCAGTAAATTAGTCCCCCCTCCCACTCCCACCACCAGCACCCCC